CCACATCGCTTAGGAGTCGAGGCTAAGGGTAGTTTATAAACACTCTTCCTCCTTAACCCACCGAGGCGCCTTTTCAAGGACAAAACTGTGACGGCCCAACGAGCGCCAAAGCGGACAATACCTCGGATGCGGTGACCCTAACGATGACAGCGGACTTACGGTAGGAACATTGGCGCTAGAAGGAGGGCCCAGGCCACTCTCGCCCCTTAGCATCGACTGGGGGGCTTGTTCCGGTATGCCTAAAAGTCCCACATCGCTTAGGAGTCGAGGCTAAGGGTAGTTTATAAACACTCTTCCTCCTTAACCCACTGAGGCGCCTTTTCAAGGACAAAACCGTGACGGCCCAACGAGCGCCAAAGCGGACAATACCTCGGATGCGGTGACCCTAACGATGATAGCGGACTTACGGTAGGAACATTAATATTTTCTTTCAAACAAATTTTTGTTACCAACTAAATTTATTAAAAGTTATAAGTTTTGCTGGGTATTGTTTTTTTTAGTGATTTTTTTTATTTTAAAATAATATACAACAAAAATGTAGTTTTAATCTCTCATCATAAACTAAAAATATGTGTTTTTGAATAAATGTGAGGATTAAAAATATGTTAAATTTTTTAGGAACTAAAACTAATGGTTCAAAATATTTTGAAGGACTAAAAACATATTTATTTTTATATTAATAATATTAATTATATAAAATCAACAAGTTGTTGGTCCAAGTGATATCATACTTGATTTTTTTAAGCAATATTTTGAATTAAAGTCTTATGGATAAATAAAAATATGATTAACAAAGAAATCACACTAAAAGAATTATATTTTTCGACAAAGATTACCAATAACATAATTATGAAAAAACATTGTCATCTACTTTAAACTAGTGATGAATTTGGCAAATTACAAATAACATAATAAGATGGTTGAATGAATTAACCTACTCCTTCATTTTTAAAAGAATTAAACAATTTGATTCATAAATTTCAATATGTTCTATCACTCCTAATTTTCTTAAATATTTACAACGGGTTTGGTGGAAGTGATTTAGCAAGTATTCGAGAGAAGAGAGATAAATTAGCATAATTAAAAAAAAAAAGTGTTTGGGAGAGTGAATTCATGCGAAATTAAGAAGATTTCAACATAGTTTTTACTCCAAATTTGTTACCTTCTAAACAATCATAGAAATTAAAGGCAACCAATTTTGATGACAACTTATTCAATAATACTACTTGTAACTTTTTTCTTATATGTTTGTTGAATACTAACGGAGTAAAGAGATTTTGGAATTCTGTATTTTAATTAAACATGGAATTGATACATTTTCGTAATTTTATGTATTTTATTTAAATAACTTAAAAATGTAAAGAGGGAGGGAGGGAGTGAAGGGGGTAGGGGTGAGCATTAAACCGACACCCGAACCGAACCCGAAAAACCCGAAAATAAATATTGTTTTTGGGTGGGTTCGGGCGGGTCTTATGGGTAAATCGGGTTAAAATTTTGATTTTATACGGGTTATATTGGGCGGGTTCGGTTTTGAATTTTTAAACCCGCTAAAAACCGAACCCAACCGAAAATGAGATAAGTTTAAATTTTTATTATTTTTGTATAACTAAACAACAATGGTCCAAATTTAAAAGTCTTTATTTCAAGTATAATATAGCCATCAATTTGTAACTTATTTTTTTCCTTTTTTCTCATAACTTAGATATTTATTTTGTCTTCTCCTTCCTCATTCAACTTCTCAACACACTAGTCCATTTTTAGAGTTATCTTTTTGCTTCTTTCTTTGTCTTTCTTTTCCATCTTCTTATCTCCATTTTGAGTACATTTTGTGTGACTGTGATTTCTTATGGTTTTGTAATCTAACTTTATATTTCTTTTCCATGTAACAACTATGAATTTTGTTATCTTTTATTTTTGCTTCTTTAGTTTGTAAATGTTTCAACTACGAATCTATTTACACCATCTATTGTCACCTTCATTCTATTTTTATACACTATTTTAAAAATATTTTTTATCGTTTTAAGCTTCATCTTAACACACTAGTCCATTTTTAGAGTTATCTTTTTGCTTCTTTCTTTGTCTTTCTTTTCCATCTTCTTATCTCCATTTTGAGTACATTTTGTGTGACTGTGATTTCTTATGGTTTTGTAATCTAACTTTATATTTCTTTTCCATGTAACAACTATGAATTTTGTTATCTTTTATTTTTGCTTCTTTAGTTTGTAAATGTTTCAACTACGAATCTATTTACACCATCTATTGTCACCTTCATTCTATTTTTATACACTATTTTAAAAATATTTTTTTATCGTTTTAAGCTTCATCTTCGTTAAGATAAATTGGTCTATAAAAAAATTCAAACCCGATTATATCCACCCGCTTAAAACCGAATCCGTTTCAACCCGAACCGCCTCAAATCGAAAGCTCAGTCGGTCGGATATGGGTCACATTTTTTCAAAGTCGGTTTACAACGGGTTGGACATTTTTCACCCGAACCCGACCAAACCCACCCATTGCTCACCCCTAGAAGGGGGAGGAGAAATTTAAGATAAGAAAGGTGGTTTGTTATTGGCCTCACCAACAAATGAATCCTATATAAAGAAGATTGTTACACGTACCACAACAATTACAAATAAAAAAAGTCATAGACTCGATTTAAATTAGAGACAATACAAATAACAAATAAGAATAAAATTAAAATATTTGAAACAAATACAAATACATTAGAAAGGTAGATTTGATTAAGAAAAGTGGAAACTAAAAAATTATATTTCCTTTATCTATTTCAGATGTAGATTATAGATGTTATATTATATATTATAGATATTATAGATTTTATCATTTAATTGTTGTACTCATCACATATTTTCACTTTTTATTCAACCTCTTCGCTTTTAATATTCTTTAGTGTTATTTATTTCTCTTCAAATCTCTTTTGCCTTCAATAAAAAAAATCAATTTCCACATAAATTACTTATAAGTTATCCATATCGCATAAATAAGAATTAAAAAAAATATATAATTAAATATAATAGATAAAATAATTTAGATAAATATTTTAAATTTTTTTACACAAATTTATCTAAATAATTCAAATTTTAGATAGTAACTTTGATCAAATGAGAATAATGCATTTTTTTATGATGTTTGGAGCTAAATTACAATAAAAGTGAGTCATTATTATTTATCGAATCATTATTATTATCATTGTTATTTATTGTTATTGATTTTATCTGTTTTTTCTTATATCTTGATATAATCATTTTGATACTTGAAAAATATAGTCCAAAATTTTAAAAAATATAAAAATAATAATATACAAAAAGTAACAACTAATTAAAAGCACCCCTCAACATTATCTTTAGACTTTTGTTACCATTTTTCTATACATTCATATAAATCACACTCTTTTTTTTCTCCTTTTTACAATTCCATAAAGTCTTAACTCTTAAGTAGGGATGACAAATATACCCGTACCCGCGGGTAATACCCGAACCCGTCCCGACTTTGACAGGGAATACCCGGTTTGACCGGGTACGGGTATGGATAAAACCCAATATATTAAATCGGGTACGGGTACGGGTACGGGTACGGGTACGGATATGTACTTACCCGCCCCTGCGAATAGCAGCTTCAAGCCTACGAACCTGGAAGAAGAGGAAGAAGAAGAGGAAGAAGAAGAGAAATATGGCAGTTATGGTTATGGATGCATCGGGGAGAGAGAAAAGAAACTAAGAAAGTGTGTGTGTTTGGTTAGAGAGTAGTACCAGAGTGGGCTTGGTTCCGGTGGTGGAGAGTCCACGGTTGTGGAGCTCCGTTCGCAGCTCCTCCACCCTCATTTTGCTTGATGCCATTTTAGACGAAAACGGAATGGGTAGCGTTTTCCTACTCTCGACTTTCAATTTTGAAGAGTGCCACTTCTAAGTTCGAAATTCTAACCGTGTGTGATTGCTGCACATACGATACGACGCCGCTTTTATGCAAAGGCTCCACTTATGAGGTGTGCCTCGCACGACATAGCTGGGTGGCTAATATATGTAAATAAATGACAAATTCATGGCCTTCATGGTCAAAATGATTCTTTCTCCTACTATTTTAGACTTAATTCCAAGCAATGCTTCTGTCTTAAGACTTAAGACAGAAGCATTGCTTGGAATTAAGTCTAAAATAGTAGGAGAAAGAATCATTTTGACCATGAAGGCCATGAATTTGTCATTTATTTACATATATTAGCCACCCAGCTATGTCGTGCGAGGCACACCTCATAAGTGGAGCCTTTGCATAAAAGCGGCGTCGTATCGTATGTGCAGCAATCACACACGGTTAGAATTTCGAACTTAGAAGTGGCACTCTTCAAAATTGAAAGTCGAGAGTAGGAAAACGCTACCCATTCCGTTTTCGTCTAAAATGGCATCAAGCAAAATGAGGGTGGAGGAGCTGCGAACGGAGCTCCACAACCGTGGACTCTCCACCACCGGAACCAAGCCCACTCTGGTACTACTCTCTAACCAAACACACACACTTTCTTAGTTTCTTTTCTCTCTCCCCGATGCATCCATAACCATAACTGCCATATTTCTCTTCTTCTTCCTCTTCTTCTTCCTCTTCTTCCAGGTTCGTAGGCTTGAAGCTGCTATTCGCAAACAAACTCGTAGCGCGACGAGTGACGTCGATGCTTGCGCGCCTCGTAGAACTAGAAAGAGAGCAAGGGATTCCCACAATGAAGATTCTCACCACTCTGCGGAGGAGACGATGGAGGAGGAAAAGATAGTGACCGCAACCAAAAAAGGCGTCTCTGTTCTCGATCAGTGGCTTCCGGATTCCGTGAAGGCGCATTATCATGTTCTGCAACTCGTAAGTTTAGTAATAATTGCAATCTTAACCTCCTCGAATAGTTGCATTTTTTTTTGTTTTTGCCTGTGAGATGTGGTTCAAATCGATTGTTTTTGATTGGTAATTGGTAGGTAGTAGTGGTTAAGTAGAGTGTGTCTGGGACAACCGATTATTTTGATAATCAATTATCGCTATAGTCGATCATACTTAGAATGAATTTTCGTGTAAGTTTAATGAAAAGCAATTTTCAAATATTTAATTTCCTTTGGCTTAAAAAAATCAGCTTTTCATAGTAAATCAGCTTTAGGAAAAAAAAAGTTGTTAGAAAATAATCATAAGCTTCTTCAAAATTTCAGATGCTTTCCCATACATTCTCTTAATGGGTTTTAGACTCACGTGTACTGCTAGTCTGATACGCCTTTTAACAATGCAGGGTGGTGAAGTCTATGATGCCATGTTGAATCAGACAAATGTTGGAGACAACAATAACAAGTTCTATGTCATTCAAGTTCTAGGTTAACTTTCTATGCCATCTACTACCTATTGATGATATGATAGCCTTTTTTTGATACTTTGATTTACTGCAGTGGTTAACTGGTTATGAGAGTAGTCATTATTCATATCTACAAAATTTTGATTCTTTGATTTTTTTTTTTTTTTTTTTGATTATCAGATAATTATTGAACAGAGATATTAATATTATTTGATAATTAGTTATCTCTAACCCAAAAGTAGTTACCAAAATTTGTTGCTTGAGTTGTAGAACACATGCTCTTCCAGCAGTTTTTAATGTTCATTCTACTGGTTTTGCTGATTGCATGTATCAAACGTTTTTGCAGAATCGGACAAAGGTGGTGAATTCCTTGTTTACAATAGGTGGGGAAGGGTAGGTATAAAGGGCCAAGACAAGATACATGGCCCTTACAGATCATGTGAGAGTGCCATCCAGGAGTTTGAGCAAAAGTTTTTAGCCAAGACCAAGAATGATTGGTCCAATAGGAATAATTTTGTTAGCTATCCTAAAAGTTATGCTTGGTTGCAAATGGACTACAGTGGCAAGGAAAATGAATCTATTGTGAGTTATATGACATTATGACTGTATCCCTCTTGCTGAATTTTCCTTTTCTTCATGTAACTTGATGTGCCTTTTTGCAATTAACTCTGGTTCACTTGCCCTTGATCATGAAATTAGTTCACCATCTCTATAAAAAAGGCACTTGTGCACAGTAAACTTCACTTTTCTAGTCAATGGTTATTGATGATTGATGTTGTCTTTTTGTTGCTGTTGGATGCGGAGCAAAAGGAGGAATAAACTATTTCAATTGGTCATTCTAAACACTTGGAAATTGCTTTTAGGTTACAGAAAATCCTGGCCATGCCTTAGGAAAGAAGCCTCAAGAATCAAAACTTGAGCCACGTGTTGCAAAATTTATATCTCTTGTTTGCAATGTGAGTATGATGAATCAGCAAATGATGGAAATAGGTTAGTTATTGCTTCTTTCCTTACTGTGGGATGAGATCCATATCATATGATTCGAAAGCATGCTTGACATTCTGTTGATTCATTTATATCAATGATATAGTTTCCTTAATACAATAAATGACTGTCAATACTCATTGTCAGTTGTCACGTATTTGAAATCTTTTTTCTAGAATTGTGATATAGCCTAATTCAGTATTCTTTATCTACTTTAATAGTGGGAATTTTGTTTTAGGGTACAATGCAAACAAGTTACCCCTCGGAAAACTTAGCAAATCAACAATTTTGAAGGTAGGGCTTTGGGCATGTCATTTTTTTTACTTTGGCATTTGCTGATTTTATTTAATATTCCTTTCAAAAGTCTATCACATATACTAGTTTCATCTTGTGCCTGTGCCATGTTGTTGAAAACTTGAAATCAAATCAACATTGGTAATACTGTTGAGCTTTTAGTTATGTTTATAATTTCTCCTAAATGACTAGAATGCAAGATTTATATGAATTTATAATTGTTATGTTTTTAGTTAAATCTTGTGACTTATGAACTTTCTAATTCTATTAGGAGTTGTCAAACTTTTTTATATACATATTTTTCTATTTCAAATTTGGGTATTATATTTTTAATAACTTGAGTAAGAATGTAAGATCTTACGATCAGAGTTACGATTCTCGAGTTACGATGTTTCACTCTTGTTCTGATTTTAAGTAAAATCTCGATTTTAACAACATTGGTCTTGTGAATTCTTTTTCTTTTTAGATTTGGGTAATTCAAGATTTTATGCATGCACTTATGGGCGAGAATAGAAAAATTAATACATTTCTACAATGAGGCTTTGTTTTCATATTGTTATTCTGAAGCCTTTTGGTTTCAATGCACTTCTCTTTTTGCTTTTTAAAAACTATTGAAAAAATAAAAGTATGAAACCTGTGGTCTTCACATCTTGATCATGGTGCAAGAGTTCCCTTGTGTGATGACTTTTTTTGTTTTCAGCTTCTTGGGCACTGCTGCAGCATTTCAACTTACATGCTTTGGATTTCACTAAAATTTTAAGCATTTATATTTCTTAAATTGTTTAGGGCTATGGTGTTCTCAAAAGACTTGCTGATGTGATTGATAAAGCTGATAGGAAAATTCTGGAGCAATTGAGTGGGTAAGAAATTTGTTTATCTTCTTATTTTCATTGATGTGCTAATGTGATATGCTCTACTTTTTTCCTATGAAATACATACAAATTTTTATACTTGTGTTGAAAGAGATGTTACTATTTTATCTATATTATAATAAAATTCATTTTCAGTTGGTTGAGGCCAATAATTTTTGCTTTAAAGAAATTGGATAACCATATTTTATAATTGGTTTATTTGCTTGTTGCAGAGAATTCTACACTGTAATTCCTCATGATTTTGGATTCAAAAAAATGCGTATGCTATCTCTCTCTCTCATTTATCTCTAAAGAACACATGCATATTTTTATTTTATGATAGTTCTAAATCATAAAATAAATTCTCATGGTGGTTATGCATTGATATTTTAGAGGAATACTGATTAACATGGAAATATAAATAATGGCAGGCGAGTTTGTGATTGACACCCCTCAGAAGTTAAAACGCAAGTTAGAAATGGTAATCCTTTTTTCCAAATGCATGTATTGACCTGGTTATTTTGGTTGCTTATTGAATATGATTATTATTTTTCTCATATTTTGGATGGTGGATTCTCTATGAGGATTATGTACATATATTACATACTTTCATTTATGACTGTTGGTTTTCCTGTTAGCCTTGGTAGGTAGCTGTCTCTTATTCCCTTGGGCCCATCTTCCTCCAAATTTGTGCAATTTTTCTAGAAAACAAACTCAATTATAACTGTTTTGCTTAACTATTGACATTATTTAATTCCTTATACTCAGGTTGAAGCTCTTGGTGAAATTGAGGTTGCCACAAAGCTTTTGAATGACAATGCAGACATGCAGGTATTTCTTGTATAATTTTCTTCTTGTGACTGTCAATATCTAGAAATTTTTTGGAGTCCTTTTTAATTTTATCCTGAGATACTCCTGTTAATTGTTACGGATAATATCCTTATCTCTTTGAGCTCCAAGGATAATTACATGTGTAACGAGCTTGATGCCTATGGTATATAGGCTCCAGTGGAAGTGTAACATTAGCTATTAATTATAGATAATATCCACATCTCTTATCCTAATAATTTAGGAGTTATTAATTTATTATTTATCTATTACTACCAGAATCTGATTTAAAAATAAATTTGTGGGGCAGAGAGGAATTGTCTCAGTCAATTTCTAGTATGTAGTAACCTAAAAAGTTCATGTACTAATATGGGTGCTTAAACTATGATGGAAAATTGGCTTATTGAACATTAAAGATTAAACTAAACTACAAATTATGATTAGATATTTAAGGATGCATTTGATTTGTACCCGGTGCCCCATGTTTTGAACAAGAAATATTTTATGGTTGTATTTTTAGTTCTTTTGGTGAAATGAATGGACATTGGACAGGTGTGGAATATTTATCACTTTAGATGATTTAAATTGAGTTTCACTCGAAAGTAAGTATTTGCAGTTTTACACCAATTTAATGTTAGAATTCACAGAAGTAACGTTTTATTGACACAATTTTGTATACTCGGAAAGTGCCCTTTTGCAAAGAATATCCGCATCTTCATTTAATGAAACCCATTCTTATTTTGTTTTGTGCCAAGTATTTCCTTCAATTTGAAAATGCACTGGTTTACTAACTAATATTTAGGCAACTTAATTCTTAAAATTTTAAAATAAAATGGGAACCGTATTTTTCTATACATATTTGGGTCAGCCAGGATTTCTGCATTACTTTTTGGTGAGGCTAATGATTCTAATTCTGGATTTTCTGTAGGGGGATCCCCTGTATACTCATTATCAACGTCTTCATTGCGAACTGGTACCAGTTGAATTTGGTTGTGAGGAATTCTCTATGGTAAATAACTATACTGTCTTTATAGTTTTGTTGGAAAAATTAAAAGACAATTACTATGACAGGAAAAGTTGAGAAAGGAAAAGTGAAATCTAAATGGTTATAACATTTTTGTCATCTGATATGAAATATCATTTTGTTACAAAGTATAAAAAACATTCTGCAAAATTGCATAGTTCTTGGTCCTGACAATATCTTCTTGTCCCTTTTGATGTCAATAGATTGAAGAGTATATGAAGAACACTCATGCAAAAACACACTCAAACTATACTGTGGAAATTGTTCAAATATTTAGGACATCAAAAGAAGGCGAGGCTGAACGGTTTAGAAAGGTGTGGCACTGTGGCTAATGCATAGTTGTTGAATAAGGATCTTCCTCTCTTAATTTTTCTTCTACTAGGAATATAATTTTGTAATTCGAAGTTTGTTTCAGTTTGTGATATAATGTTTATATATAGACATTTGGCATTCAGTCAACTGCATTAATGCTTTTTGACTTTTGACAGTTTGCTAGTACAAAAAATAGGATGCTTTTGTGGCATGGTTCTCGACTCACAAACTGGACTGGAATTTTATCTCAAGGTCGTTTCTTCTCTCATTTGTTCAGTAGTTTCTTGCTGCAATAATATCCGAGTCTGATGTGAACATACCATTGTCAGGTTTGCGCATAGCTCCTCCTGAGGCACCTGTAACTGGCTACATGTTTGGGAAGGGGGTGTACTTTGCTGACATGTTCTCAAAAAGTGCAAATTATTGCTATGCTAGTCATATTGCTAAAGATGGGGTGCTCCTTTTATGTGAGGTTGTTTTTTATGTAATGAAAACATTGTTGCATTACCAAAATTGATTAAGAAATGAGGATTGTAACTCCAGTTATCAATCTCACCATTTGTTGTTGCATGTCGAACATTATTAGATAATTATAACAGCCCAAGTTGGAGAATTTTGCATTGTTTTATCCTATGTTGCTGAAATATAATGAGAATATTGTCTGCAATATTCCACTTAGAAAAGTAGGCTTCGCAATGTGCTTATTATTGATCCACATCTTCAAGAAGTCGAGTTATATTAACATGTTTACTGTGCAGTATGTCATTATTGACACACTTCTTCAGTTAACATTCTTTATTTGCTGTATTTTTAGGTTGCACTGGGAGAGATGGCTGAGCTTCTAAGTGCCAAATATGATGCTGATCAGTTGCCTGAAGGAAAACTGAGGTTTGTTCTCCAATTTCGTAGTTGTCACTATTCTCTTTAGTTAATTCATTGGCAAGTGAGAATAATTGACCAAGTAATGTTAGCACCAATTTCTCTAATACAAGATATTCTTTATTATTAGTTAAAAATAGTGTGAAACCAAGTTGATAGTAGGACCCACTAAATAGGGAGTGATACCCAACACATTCAACGATTCCTGCATGAATTTCAATTGATAATAGTATATTGATGTGTGTAACTATAATTTCTCGTTGTGTGATTCAATTGCAAAATCTATATTGATCAATTGATTTATGTCTTCATGTAATGTTAGTCATTATAACAAGTTTTCTTGGAGCCTGCCTCTAAAATTAATTTCAGTTAATTGTTTTATATGCTTTTGCTTAACTAGTGAAGTTTATATGCAATCTCGTACTGCAGCACAAAAGGAATAGGAGGTACTGCTCCGGATCCTTCAAAAGCTCGGGAACTTGAGGATGGGCTCGTAGTTCCACTTGGAAAGCCCAGAAAAGAATCAGGCATAAAGGTATGCACTAGAAGTTAAGTTTTTATTAGCAGTGGAAGTTTGTTGATAATTGTCATTATTTAATACTATGCATTTATTCTCAACCATTTTGTATTGCAGTGCGATCTCTTGTACAACGAATACATTGTTTATAATGTGGAGCAGATTAGGATGCGCTATGTTGTTCACGTAAATTTCAATTTTAACACTAGAAGTTAGTGGCTGGACGTGATTACTAAGTTATTTTATGTATATCTTCATTTTGTGGTTCGCCAGCAATGATTATTTATATAAGGTATTATAACACCGAAAAGCCATGAGAATTGCACTGTTGCTAAGAAAATGAAGTCAGTGCTTTTGTATCTTTGTGGTAATCTGGTGAACGAAAAATAAAAATGGAAACTAAGATGACATACGGCCTTGTTTTATAATTTTCTTCACTAGTACTTGTAAGAAGAAAAAAAATGAAATAATTAAAAAAAAAATAAAATTAGCTTATATAAGTTAAAATCAGTTTTTTTGGAGGGAAGGTACTAATTGGCTTTAAATTAATTTTATGTACAAGCTCTCTCTCTCTCTTATTCTTCTTCTCCTATTAAGTAATTTTGGATAAGTTTATTCAAATAGAGTTTGTAATTGGTGTAAGAAAAACAGTTTAAAATTAAGAGAGAAAAGTATTATTCAAATCATTATAATATAAATATTAAAATAATATCATTTGATGATGTGGTATATATTTAAATTCCAAACACAATGCCTTAATGATTATTCTAACATGTCAAGTGTTAAGATATGTTTAACTTATTATTATGAAATTAAATAGTTTAATTTAAATTTTGTGTTTTATCTTCATTTTTAGATTAATTAGTAAATCCTTTGTACATAAAAAGTCTCAAGATTTTTTTTAACACGATAAGAATTGCAAGATTTGAGATCATCTAGAAAATATTAACATTAAAAATTTGAACTTGAGATGTGGATCATTCATGATAGATTAACATGACTTGCTTTTTCTATTTAAAACGGGATTTGAAACCAAATCTATTCTCAAGAGGATAGAAGAGACGATTCAGGTGAGATCTAATGTAAATTCAATTTTCTCTTCATTCGTGAGATTTGGGCGATAGGGAGTTATGGAGAGACGAAAGTTAGGAGAGCGAATGAGAATAAATATCCTAGTAGTTAATTTTTTTTATCTTTTAAAAAAATTATTTGGTTCTTTATATATTAAATTTGAGTCAATTTAGCCATTTTTAAAAAATTATTATTTTTAATTTTTTGACACAATTTTGATTATATATATATATATAAAAGACATGAAATTATTTTATTAGATATATTTGTTCAAATAAAAAAGTCATAAACATAATGTAAATTGTGAGAAAAACGAGTCAATTGAACGATTAGAAAATATATAAAAAAATTATTATCATATTTTTCTAATTTTTTGTAGAATTTATTTGTTACACAATTTCGACTATGTTTAATGTTTTTTTTGGCTTGGACATAATTTTAATGTGAAAATGAAAAAAAAAATACATCTTAAATCAATAAAATAACATTTAAAAATGTATTAGAAAATTGAAAATAATAATTATTTTGATATAACCAAATTGACAAATTTTAAACATTATACAAATTAAAATTTAAAAATTCTGAAAAAAGTTAGAAGGGCCAACTGGCCAAGGCCCCCCAAGCTCCTTAGTAGTTAGTACATCCGGCCCTGCCTTGTGATTAATTTTTTTTGTTTTTTATTGTGAGGGTGTGGTGAGAGAAAATGTTTTATTTTTTATTTTAAATTAAAAAATTATTATAATATTTTTTTTATAAACTAATCAAATCAAAAGAAATGAATGATTTTTTTTTATTTTAAAATTTTGGTTTAAATTATTAACATACTCCAACTAAAAATTAGGTTAAGATATATTAACAATCCTTATATATATATATATATATATATAATAGTAAGGTACTCAAGGACACTGGGCACCTCCAGGGACGACTCGCCCACGGGCCACCCCACACCCACGCCTGGTAATGTTTTTATTAAAGCCTAAAATACTGAATTCATTCAATAACATTAATTACTACAGTATATTCATACATGGAAGTAGCTTGTAGCATAAATATTGAATTCATTTAATAACATTAATGTGGGGTGGGGATGGAGAACAGAGTAGTTTTAGTAAGAACTATTCATATATGCAAGTAGTGATTAATATTAACCTAAATGTACTATATAAGGTGAATATTTTCTATATAAGGTGAATATTTTTATATTAATATAATATATTTTATATTTAAAGATAAAATTTAAATTTTAAATAATTTGATTAAAGAATACAAATTATTATTGTTTGTGATTATTATTGTTTGTGTCAATCAATTTTGATTGAGAGAGTAGTTTGAATCAAAGCATGAAATTACATAATATTAATATGACAATAAATTTTTTATATATGAGAATTAAATTTAGCATTAAGAAAATTTATAATAACTCAAATACTCTGAACAACTAAGTTATACCTCTTAATATATCGCATTATATATTTATTGAAAACAATAAAAATATAAGAGTGTGTTTATTTTAAGAATATTCTCATAAATAAATATATATGAATAAGAAATGTGTTCTCCATTTTTGTTTTTCCAATGAATAAGGAGTATATGAATATAAAATAATTTATACATTTTCATGTTTTTATTTCTAAGAAAGGATGTGAACTAGTTAATTCACATTTAAAATTTTCCTTTTTAATTATTTTAACTTCCTTCACGCCCATTTTTATAAAAATATTATCATCATTAAACGAAACATATATATATATATATATATATTTTAAATATCAAAGAATTTCATTACTATTATTATTATTATATATATATATATATATATTATTTATTTATTTATTTTTTAAATAAAATTTGATAATTTGAAACAGGTACATCCTAAAAAGAGTAATAATAAATTTAAGAATTTGGCATGGATTTTTGCATAATCCCATTTCTGTTTAAAAATTGATCATAAGATTGAATATATACGATATCAACAACGAATTCTCCTCTTTCTCTATTTGTTTGAGAGTTGGACTATGTCAAGGTATGTGTTTATTTAGTATTAGAGGAAAAAATGATAACATTTAGAAAGTAAAATGATAAAAATTAATATTAATTTATTGTCTCTTTTATCTATTATAATTTTTTATCTTAATTTAAAAAATATCTTAAAAGAACACAATACTCATTTTTTATGGGATAAAAAATATTGTTTAATATCTTTAAGTGAAAAATAAAATTATATCTCGGGGGATAATTTTTCAATTTTTCTAGTACAATTTCCATATCATAAATTTATAAAAAGAAAGTAAAATGAATATATTTATATATACTATTTCGATATGGAGGAGAGTCAAAAAAAGTTCTAGTTACCCTCTAAGTTCAGAATATTTAGTGAATAACCAAAATTAACTTTTTTTTAGACCTAATCGTCTTTATATATACAAGTGTAGTGCTATAGACACAACTGACATATTTATTGTTATAATCTTACAAATCATGTCATACCATTATTGTCATTAATAGACTCATAAATCTTAGTATTTATAGTCATTATCTTATCTATTTTGAGAATCACAGATCTTATTATTGGTCATTTGAATGGGTAAATGAGTCGTCCAACACTCGACCTTGACATTTGCTTGGGAGATCTCTCGATCGATAAGACACCATGATAGTATAGAATCATCTAGACTCAAGTATGAGAGTGTGAAGAGTCTATGCTCTCACACAGTCTCCCTTTTGGTAATACATGTTAAGTTAATATGTAAGAGACCACCACAATATATATATATATATATATAAAATAATTATGACAAAAAAATTATTTATTCTTAGCATGTGAGCTAACTATACATTATTATGATCAGCTCTTAACATGAGGTTTCTAATACAACAAGGGATGTCAAAAAAATTTGTATCCGTGATTATTTGCGGATAAAATTCGCACAGATAGAAAATAAATATTATAAATAGGTGTCCATGGGTAACAGGTACAAATATTTTTTTATACCTGTATGTTAATGAGGAGGATATTAGTATCATAGTATTTGTACTCGCACATACCCGTCCGTACCCTCTAATATCTAATTTATTTGAACTTATATGAATTTAATTTTATTTAAACTTGAATAAATTTGATTTTATTTAGAGTTTGTTTGGACTTATAATAGTTAAGTATGTTACTTTATTATCTTTTATTTTGATTTATGTGTAATCAAAAGATTTTATTTTAACAATTATTGTTTGAACTTTAAATTTATATGATTGAATGTTTAAAGTTTAATTTTTAAATCCACTTATTGTTATTAGTATAATTGTAAAAATTATTTGAATTTGAATTTTATAATCTTCAAATTTTTTGTATGTAAATTTTATTTGAATTATAATTATAATCTTTAAACTTTTTTTATGCTGATTTTTATAACTTTTAGAAGAAAACAAATTGTTACACATAACTAAAATATGTGGTTAAAATATTTTGTTGAATATTTTTAAGATATTTTTAGTACATACCTGCGGGTACTTATAAATATTCATGGATATTGAAAAATGTGTAGACAAAGCATACTTGCATATATATATATATATATATATA